GAAAAACAGCCGCGGCCCACGCGGCGGGGCGGAAAAACGGCCGCGGACTATGCGGAAGGGGGGGAAGACGGCCGCGGACCATGCGGCAGGGGCGGAAAAACAGCGGCGGCCCACGCAGCAGGCCGGAAAAACAGCCGCGGCCCACGCGGCGGGGCGGAAAAACGGCCGCGGACCACATGGCACGGGCGGAAAAATGGCCGCGGACCACGTGGAACGGGCGGAAAATGGCCGCGGACCACGCGGCAGAGCGGAAAAACGGCCGCAGACCACGTGGAATGGGTGGAAAATGGCCGCGGACCACGTGGCACGGGCAAAAAAATGACCGCGGATCCAGTTCGTAACTCGAGGTGGTTCGCAACACGAGGTAAATTTTTGGGGCCGGAGCTGGTCGTATCTCGAAAAATTCGTAAAGAGGGGCGTTCGTAACTAGAGGTACCACTGTATAATGACCGCGGATCCAGTTCGTAACTCGAGGTGGTTCGCAACACGAGGTAAATTTTTGGGGCCGGAGCTGGTCGTATCTCGAAAAATTCGTAAAGAGGGGCGTTCGTAACTAGAGGTACCACTGTATATCTGATCACTTTTCAATATTAATTTGAAGTGAATAAGTGGAAAGAGGATTGCACTATTAAAATAATCTAAGCAACTTATAGAGGAAAAATATATGTTGAGTATATGTTGTATTTGAATGACCAAAGAAAATAAAGCATTCAACAATAATTTTTCAGGTGTATGGACCGATATCTGAATTAGATAGTTTAAAAGACTGCAGAGCCTATCTACGATCTCTTCCAGAAATGGATTCACCAGAACCTTTTGGAATGCATCATTGTGCTGAAAGAGTATATTTAAAAGCTCAGGCACAATTATTTATTGATTCAATTGTCAGTACCCAGCCAGCATACTGCACAGACACTATCAGGTTATTATTTGAAGTTTTCTTCTTCCTCCTCCTCCTCCTCCTCCTTCTAGAATACACCCACAGTCTGGAACAATTAATAGTTGCTTAAAGCCTAAGGTATCCATATATATCTACATATGTGTCATAGGACATACAAAAACTGTTGTTGAACATTTTTGGACCTTCAGAGCAACGGGAACCATCTGCTTTACAGTACTGTGGGGAATAAATGTTTGTTTTCCAACTGCTAACAGCAGTGGGAAACTACCACATTAAATAAGTTTGCTGGCAGGAAGGAAAACAATTTCTGGTAATGGGGAAAAGCAGACAGAACCAGTAGCTGCACACCCCATGATCTGCAACAGAATCCTAGAAAAGAAAGGGTGAAAAGTTTCCTTTCTCCCAATGACCTTTTGGGGAATAAGTATAATGCATGAGTATGGAGATTTTGTAGGTATGATCCCATCAAATGTAAAACTTAAGGGTCATGTTTGGGTGTTTGTAGATAAGTGTGTGTGCATGAAAGAGAGATGGAGGGGAGATAGAATGTCCACATGTTGGCCATCAGTTAAATGTGATTGTTTGCATTTGATTATGTACATCAAAGTAGGAAAGATTGTATTTTCATTCATAAAATTCAGTTGGGTTTGTCTGCATTCAGAATGTTATATTACTCAAATTGTGGATATGTGCTGTGACATATATACCAAGTAAACAAATCCACGAAGGTAGTCTAACAATGTCTCTTTAACAGAAAAAACAATGAGGATATATAAATAGTGGGATATTAACTTGGTTACTTCCCATAGATAATTTTAAATCTACTTTTGGTTTCCCCATTCTTTTAGTGGTAGAAAGAGTCAGGATGAAATAGTACTGGAAATAGCATCCGATATTCTAATAACACTACCATTGACTGTAGAGACTATGGAAGAGGCATCTGCAAATACATATGAGTCTAGAGAAAAGGTGACACTTAGAAGCTTCATGTCTGGACCAGTTTGGGCTGCACTTGTGAAAGCTACAGAAGGTCAGAACTGCATTTCATATAATTTTCATATCATGTCATCATTTGTCTAGATAGAGAGAAAATGATAGCTTGCTGTGTATATATACTTATATAATAATTATACATTTACACAGAGAGAGACAGACAGACACACACTTTGTGTTCATGCATGCATGTGTATGTATAATTACCAGCCCAAATCAATCCACTGCAGAATGAAGGCTTCTTTATTGAAGGTTATAGATCATAATCTACCTTGCAGGTCCAGCCACAATGCAGGTTGTTAGATAGATACCCACACTGGACCAGCATATAGATTAAGGTCCACAACAACGAGGCCTTCATTTTACAGTGGATTGTTTTCGGTAGCTAATAATAGTAAATATACATATATGTCCATGTGTGTGTATTTGCACATTTGTGTCCTTGTATCCTATTAACAATTATTACAATAATGAGGAATAAAACAACAAATAGCATCAATAAATAGTAATTAAAATATAATGTTTGTTGAAACACTATGCCTACAGTGGCGAACTTATAATTCTCTGGATATTGCTGATCTACAACGTCCAGCATCCTTCACCTTTCCCCAAATTGCTCGGACTGTTTGGATTTGTAATTCAGCTATATCTGGAGACCCTAAGTTCTCCATGCTTGTGCGCCCTCCTACCCTGGCAGCAGCTAACCCCAGCCCAGCCATACTTGCACTGCACCACAGCAGTCACTTACCTGCCCGCCGGCCTCCTTGCAAGCCATCCGGGACTTGCAACTTCCTGCCGGCTTCCCCATTGACTTTGCTTGTTGGAAGCCAGCAGGAAGTCACAAGGAGGTCCTTGCTTAACAACCCATGATCCTCACTTAACGACAGCAATGGGGACTGCTGGGATTGTCGTCACTAACTGATGCGGTCACATGATGTTGCGCTTTACGACCGCATCACTTAGCAACAGAAATTCCAGCCCCAATTACCATAGTTAACTGAGGACTACCTGTAGTGTCCCAAATTTCAGCTTTATACAACCCCTTGCTCTACTTAACAGGAGGGTCTGTCATGATGTAAAGATTTAAAGGCACAAGAGTTATTTCTCCTATTGATAAAAGGAAGAGCAATTACTAAAACAATGACCAGATATAGACTGCCCTGCATCCACCCATGAAGCAAGCCTCCTCTACATTGGAAAGGCAGGAGAAAATGGGTAATTTTGCTGCCATAGATTGCCTGTCTACAGATGTTTTATCTGAAAGTAGCATGTTTGCTGGGATTCCTACACTGTGAACTTAGCCTTGCTAATAACCAGTTCTCTCTCTCTCTCTCTCTTTCTCTCTTTTTCTTTCGCCATAGGTTTTTATTCTTTTACCAGTTCACCTTTGCTAGCTGTCTTGCGCCAGGAGATTGACCAATGTAATAATTTACTGTATATAATAATTAAGTCATTACATGAACTTCAACAAGGACTCAAAGGAGAGATTATCTTCACTTCAAGATTAGAAGAGCTTTATAATTCAATATTGAAAGGGAAAGTAGCTGATCTGTGGGAGGTATGTGAACAGTCTCTTATTTTACTTTGGAATAATAATAATGATAATAATAATAATAATAATAATAATAATAATAATA